GGCTTTTCATACAAGGAATTAGAGCTACTATTCCATTATATCAAATCTGACTAATATATATCTTTGTGATACATTTGTGATGTGTATGATACTCGTGTGATAACTGTATCATACCTGCGGGATACTTAAAAATTATAGCACAGATGAAAGGGATGACACATGCAGCAGTGAGAAACATATTAACTACTGGCACACAACACACGGGAACAACAAGAGACAGAACCAACCTGTTGCATACCATGAACCGAACAAGGCAAGACAACCAATCTGTTGCACACCACCGTGAACTGAACAAGACAGAACCAACCTGTTGCACATCATGAACTGAACAAGACAGAACCAACCTGTTGCACACCACCATGAACTGAACAAGACAAGACAAACAACCTGTTGCACATCATGAACTGAACAAGACAGAACCAACCTGTTGCACACCACCATGACCTGAGCAAGACAAGACAACCAACCTGTTGCACATCATGAACTGAACAAGACAGAACCAACCTGTTGCACACCACCATGAACTGAACAAGACAAGACAACCAACCTGTTGCACATCATGAACTGAACAAGACAGAACCAACCTGTTGCACACCACCATGAAATGAACAAGACAGAACCAACCTGTTGCACACCACCATGAACTGAACAAGACAAGATAGAACTAACCCGCTACACACACTATGGACGGAGCCAGGAAATTAACATCTTGAAGGCGAACATAAAGTGCGCGAATAACAACGGTGAATCTGAAGAGAATGTTTACACTGATTTTGTTTTACCGTAGTTTTTGTAGTGAATGGAAGTGGTGAGGAGTAGGGGTAGGAAGAGGTGGTGGTGGTGTAATTACGACTTGTCCATTGAGTGTTCAGTTCGCATGTGTTTGTGAAAGAACTGAATAAACGTTTGATGATGTAATGTGCTGAGATGGTATTGTGTGGAGCACGAAGACTAGGTGCTGGATGATTTGGGGGGTGTCAGGAGGGGATAATGTACGAGGGGAATGGCAGTAGGGGATAATGTACGAGGGGAATGGCAGTAGGGGATAATGTACGAGGGGAAGTGTCAGGAGGGAGTAATGTACGAGGGGATGTCAGGAGGGATAATAATGTGTGAGGGGGGTGTAGAGGGCGGCCCTAAGCTGTGATTGATACACTATTTCTTCTAACCTACTCGACACTCCATATGAGGTATCGAGTTGGTTAGAGGAATATGTAATGTGGTTGCAGGGATCTTTTCGCAGCTCCTGGCCCGCCTCTTCGCTGGTCACTACTAGGTCCACTCACCCTGCTTAATGAGCTTTATCATATCTCTTCTTAAAGCTATGTATGGACAAGAGCGGGGGTAGCATTTTAGAGGAATAGCAACAGCAGAGGGAAAGGGGTAAGAGAAGAGGAGTAAAGAGGTACATGTTATATTAAAGGTATATATCGTCCGCATCAGTCGTCCCAGCATCGGTTGCCTTGCTGCTGCAACGCCAGAGATATATAAGCATGTCACGCCATAGATGTATAAACTTGTCACGCCAGACATAAACAGTCACAAATCCCATTTGATCCAAAGACTTGCTAAGCTATTTAGGTTTCATACGCAGTCATTATGACTCTAAGGTTGTGTACTTACACATTCCTTACTATACAGGCACCCTGCCCCAGGAGGGAAGGAAGATTAAAAAACTGAACGGTTGTATTTCCTTTGCTAATCTGCAATATGTTCTTTCGTGTGGAGGTCTTGAAATTTACTGTTGTTGGTAGTGGGGGAGGGGGAAGAGGCTAACAGTTAGTGACGGCAGATGGCAGTGTTTTTGGTGCGGATGTAGAGTTCCTTATGTTACCCCGTGATGATAATGTTATTGTTTATGATTATGTAACGAGGGCTGACACATGTTGTAGCTAAGACGCGTAAGTTTTAGTGGCAGCAAGGGAAGAGGGCAACATGTAGAAATGTACGAGTAGTTTTCTACGTTTGTGTGTAAATTGGGGTCAGGCTGGGTTAGTACCACTTACCTAACCAGCCAACCAACCAGCCACCACCAACATGGAAAAGACCACAATTATATACAGAAAAAAAAGTGGTAGCTAAATGATAAAATATTGTTTCACAACTTGGTAGAATTCTAGAATTAGATCCAGGACGAGGTAGTGTTACGATGACTGGTAACTTTAAAATATATGATAAAGTGAAGACGGGACGCAACAAGGCTGGTCCCAGAACTGAAAAGCTGGGATATTAAGTAGACTTTACTAAACTTATCATAAAAGTTCCAAGGCCCGGAGGAGACATCATCACAAAATAAAAAATACCCAGAGCCATCGAACAAAGGGCCTCGAAGGGCACAGCATGAAAGAATACACACATGGAAACGAAGTTCACGTGAGCCAGATGGCTGATTCAAACCACGACACCTGGCAACTTCAAGGCTACTTCAACCCACACTGCTACCTGCTTCAACCAAATGACAGCTTCAGTTTCAAATGATGAAGGTATTAGCGTAGCAATATTTTTTTTTTTTACCGCTACGACCTCTCCTTTTTTTACACGGCGAGAGGTTGCCTGCTGTAGTCTTCTGGGTGAGAGAGAAGAGAGAGGTGGACATAACGCTTGATGAGAGTGGTGGATGACTAGGAGTTGCGGCTCCCAGGCAGATAGGTTTATTGAGGGTCTCCTAATGAGTGTTGGGATTGGTGGTGGCCAGTCGGTGTGAGGGGCAATTGGTTACCAAGAGGCAATCCCACGATGTAGCGGCTTGGGGTATTTCCTTGTGACTTCGGTTCGTGTTCATACGGTTCGTGTTATCTTTGGCTTCCTGCCTCAGGGTTGTCTGTTGTGGCTTTTGAGTCTGGCGGTCTTTTCACTCACAGGATGAGTGTCGAAACAAAATTTGCGTGGTACTGGCTTTTTATGTGACCATTCTCTATCTAGCTCATTATAAACACTGTAGTGAGATGCTTAGCTGTGTGTGCTTCAGCATTTATCACCCCAGGACATCCCACTACTTGACATCACAAACAATCCCTATCCCATGAAATTAATAACAAAATTCTCCACATGCAGTATGATTGAATTAGATTTTATGAAAGAAAAACCTATGTCGGTCTTCCAGTATAAGAAATGGAGGTTCGATCCTTCAGACCGCTCTTGGGCTACTGACTAGTGAGAGAACGGAAGTGTTGTCATCGTAATACAATAGGATGATGTATAGATAAGTACAAATACTAGGAAACGCGTCTGTCTCGTGCTCAGCAGACAGAGGATCAAGTTTCCACCACGTTTTGCACTGAATAACCCACATAGGTTTAGCTCCTAACATGAATTAAACAAGTTAAACTACACTGGGATGATAAAATAGAGAAGTGTTAGTGTTCATAACTAGGCTTCCACCTGAGACTGAAACTGGCTGCCATACTGCTGCTGCCGTGTTGCATAGTCACCCGTTAACGTACTTTAAAAAAATCAATGAAATAGTTAAAAGATAAGTCTCATACTTGTTTCTGAAGCCAGAACTACATGTACGAATTATTTTATCAAGGAATTAATGTTAAATATTTTTGGATTATCTCTCGCATAGTCCTTACGAAATGTGAGCAAGAATATGTTGATAATGATATACCGACAAGTTGATGATTAAGACACATGGACAACAATTGGGCATTATTTTTGAAACATTTCGCCTATGCAGTAGGCTTCGTCAGTCAAATACTACACCTGTTACCTCTGCATTTGACTGAAGAAGCCTACTGTGTATGCGAAACGTTTCAACAATAAAGATACCGAACTGTTGCACATGTCTTAGTTGTGAATAAGACTGATGTTTTTGACTAGATTTACATAAAAAAAATAAAGAAGATTTTGGATATAACAGGTAATTTTGAAATCTCAAATAGGAGTTTTAAAACTCCTTGTTACACAGTAATGACTTCAAATACAGCAGAAGTGCAGACACAAGATTAGACTACAAAGTTTCAATGCTTGACTTCAAATGCCCTTAGCAGTTCGATTTGTATAGAGATGTTAAGCACATGGCACGTAAAGGTGTGTGGATAAAGAAACGACCCAACAGTGCACTGTATCATATATTAATGTAATAAAATGCAACCCCTTCGGAGACAGATGCAAGGAAATCCTACAGGAAATGACAAATCACATAATTGTTAATACCTGTAAACCTGAGATTGTATATACGTACTGCGTCAACTGGTGTGATAACTACGATGGTATTGTGTATCCATGAAATAAATGCCAAATGATAGATCTTTTTGGTTGCCTTAGATATTTTTATTATTGATGAATTACATTGTTGTTGATAATTTCACAACTTGAAAAGTAAAGTCGGATTAAGTGCAAGACACAATGGTGGAGAGAAGACAAAAATCGTAGCATTACGCCACTTCACATGGATTCTTCAGCTTCAGCTGCTGTATAGCCCTTGTGGCTTAGCGCTTCTTTTTTATTATAATAATTCAGCTTCAGCTGAAGAATCCATGTGACAGCAATTTTGTTTTTGTCTGTTAATAGAAGTTTTAGTTAATTTACCTTCACCTAACATAAACACTGACAAAGGAAACTTAGGGTTGTGGGGGGTAAGGCTTAGTGCAATAATTACTGTTGCAAGTTCTCTGGATCATAGAAGAAAATACTTTAGTAAACTTTAAGAGTAGGCTGGGTGGAACAGTAAAAAATATTCAACCTGTTTAAAAAAAATATTTTGCTTCTCGTGGCATTCTTAGCCAATTTTTTTTTTTTTTTGTACGGATAACTCTTCACATAAGAAAAAAGTTTTTTCCATATGACTTCCGTGAAAGCCTAGATATTGGACCAATAGGTCTACGGCACTTTTTCAGCTCATATTTTTATAGTAACAGGTGTGTTTTGGTAATTTATATCGCCAAGTGATTTAAAAGGTTAACACGTGAGCAAACAAAATTAGATTTTTTTTCGGCCCTGGGACCTTCGTCACTTTTAATGTCATTTTAAAGCAACACGAGAGTGTACTAACTTACCTGGAGAAGGGTGTGAGGGCAGCCTGGACGGGTCCCACCTGCCTCCAAGCATTGTTGGCCCTGCAAAGGAGTGCCCTGAGGCAGGCAGGTCTGGCCCTGGCTCGGGCATACAATGTACTCATGTCCAGCCCCACGGGGGAAACCTGCGTCACCAGGGAGAACCACCGGTCCGTCCAGTGTCCCGATGATTTCCTCGTCAGAGAGTTCTCGTCCTCCACCATTCCCTCACGCCGCACCTGCTGCTGACCCTCGCTCTTGTGCACCCGACTGTACCTGGAGTTGTACTCACGACGGTTACCGGCCGCGCTGTTCTTGGTGGCGTAGGGCACCGTGTTTGTTTCAGAAGATACCCTTGATTGTTGGAGATACTGGACTAGAGACTTGCTGAAGTGGTGGTCGCCGCCACTGTCCGACCGTCCTTCACCCACGGAATTCTGCGAGGTGAGGCTGCCTCTTAGAGCTGAGGCCAAAGCCGGGACAACGTTGACTCTCTGCTGGGCGCGTCCCAGTGCCGTGAGGGCCGCTAGGGCAGCTTGTAGCTGCGTCAGGCTCAACTTACTCAAGGTGCTCAGCAGGGAGGGCAGGTCGTTCATGTGGGAGGGGAGGCCGCGGCCCTCATCACCCCCGAGCACTTCCTGCAGGGCACGAGCAGCTCCGCCTTCAGTAGTAAGAGTAGCGTACAGCTCCTGCAGGGGCTCATATATGCGCGGATGGAGCAGCTCCGTGGCCAGAGCTGCAGGTGATGAACCGATCTCCGTCATTAGTCGCTGTTTCGCCTGCTGCAGCCATTTTGTGGTGTCGCCAGAGGTGTTATGAATCATTAAGGACTGCAGCTTGGTTTGTAGGAGATTCAGCCAGGGAGGTGTCTCACAGTGTACGGCGCGTCCTACCTCCACTACTGCTACGTCGTCAGGCATGGCTCGGGAGAGCAAGTTAGCGGCATACTGCGAACTGTGCACCTTGATCACCAACTCGTCCAACACCTTCTGTACCTGCCACTGTATGACGCGCTCTGACAGTCCCCCAGGCTCCCCCTTGATGTACTTGTTCGCAGCGTACACAACCACGGCCAGCAGGTTGAAGAGACCTACTAGCAGCACTATGGCGTCGTCTTCAGAGGGGCTTACCGCGTATTCCTCTCGACCTTCCAGGCTTCCATAATGGAATTGACTCACGAAACGAGGAGTTTGTGTCTTTCTCAGACGACGTTGTGACGTCGGTCGTGGAGTGGTAGTTGTAGTAGTGGTGGTGGTAGAATGCCTTCTTTGCTGTCGTCTTTGGTTTGCTGTGGTATAAGAGGAGTGGCGCGATATGAGCTGCTGAAGTTGGTCTAGAGTGTAGCTGCTACTCAGGGAGTGTTGGTCGAGTGATGATTGAGCCTCGTTATTGGCGGTGGGGAAGCCTGTTCGTATGGCTCTTGATCTCATCATTGGCAGCTGCAGTAACGGCTGGTTCAGTGGCAAGAATGACCCTTCTATTCCCCACCCTCCTAACACCTGAGACGCCAGTGCCATGCCTAGGCTTTATAAGATCCCTGCTAATTTACGAGCTGACTTCAGAGTAACACTTTTCCTATCGCCATGCTGCTACAACTTCGAAGTGAACCGCCTCAGCGTTCTTCTTTGCAACACTTCAGAATTTACACTTCTCTTGGTTTTAAATGCTATCAGTATCCAGAGCACACAATGTTAAATTTTAATGTTTGGGTGAGAAATGTCACGAGTATTTATAGGCGAACTCGAGTGACCGACTATGGTGTCGAGCGAGTGGCGTTAGCGTGGAGGGTAGGAGCAGCACAACTGAGGTGTGTATGATCACGACGGCAGTGAGCTACAGACTGTCTGTGTACCTAAACTCGAGTTCCGTCCACCCTTACCACCCCCACCTAATCCTACGCAAGCCCAATAGCACTCCCTCCCTTCTTCGGCACCTCTTTCCCTAGTATTCGCCATCTGTTTCACCTCACCCACTTCACCCCACCTCCACCTTTCTTCCCACTCATCCCCAGTTCCTAATTGTGAACCCATACTGATTTTTAAAACGTCATTGGTTGATTTTTCGCTCAACGTCAACCTTTCTGCGTTTCTTTTTTTTTTAAGTTGTAGTAAAATAAATTAATTTAAATTAGGTTAAGTTGTGTTTGGTTAGATGATTTATAAAAAAAAGCGTAATCAGCAAATTAGAAAATAGCTGTAATACGTCTAGTAACGAAGTGGCGCAGGGAAAAATAGAAAACGTGGAATGGTTGACGTTCTTCACTCTTGGTTCGAGAATTGTTACTTTACCATTAGTCCTGTTTTGTAGCAATACAAAACAGGTACTTGGCTGTTAGTCTAGTGTTGTGGGTTACATATTGTGGAGAAATTTCATTGCAAATAGAGAAGACGATATGTCTGTTGGAAGGAAGGTTCCTTGATGTTGGTGAGGGGCTCTTGATTTAGGGAATTGGATCTGTGCTCCAGTTCCCCGAATTAAGCCTGAATGCCTTCCACATCCCCCCCTAGGCGCTGTATAATCCTCCGGGTTTAGCGCTTCCCCCTTGATTATAATAATAATAATGTTGGAGGAGGGAGGCGGGCGACTACAGAAGCTTTGAGGAGCCTTGGGGAAGCAGTCTGCATGGAAGGTGGTCTACAGGACACGTCTCGAAGCAGCGTTATTGAATTTTTTTATTTGTAAGGAAGAGGTAATTTTCGGGGTTTCAGACTCCCTTTTAGCACCGCCCCCGTGCTGGAAATATTCAGGCGTTGGGTGGAAGGTCTGAATCAGGAAAAAGCAGTAAAAATCAGGTTTGATCCAGGAACAAGTCAGCCTCGTAAATTCTACGCCGATTTCTCACTCCTGTGTAATACAAAATTAATTTTGGTCGAATGTTTGTTTTTGATCATGGGATTCTAGGTGAAACTGCCGAAGGCAGGTCCTCGTGCCTTTCAGGAGGGTGCCTTAAAGACACTGAATGGATTTTAATCCAAGGAACTGAAGCAGTCTTCCCCTCCTCAGCTCGAATCTGGTTGCCTCCCATTCCCCAGGTGTTGTATGACCCTTAAGGATTTAGCACTTTCTCGTGATTTTAATGATCCGCACTTGACACCTCAATGAGTATAACGTGCAGGTTCGCTCCCTTAAGTCACTACTAGGGCAAGAGGCCCATGGGACTGAAGAGCTGTTATATTCCTCAGCTTATTTCAGAGCTCAGCCCTGTCTATTGTATAGTGTCACCCCCTTCCCCAGGATGTTACATTTTCATAACACCCGATTACTTATTTACTAGGGATGTGCCGAAGTGTTGGTATCTGCTTATTTTGATGCTATCGGTATTGGCAAAAAAATTGGTATAGTTCCATCCCTCTTATTTACTGCTAAGTGAACAAATGCAGCAGGTACTTTCAGTACCTTGATGCTAATCTACAAGTTAGTTTGAGCCTTAATCACCAACGTGCTATCAAAGTAACCTATAGGTTCTAAGAAATTGCTCTAATTTTTTGCCTATAAATCTACGCGCTCATCTGTGTGTCATTGCTCCACTTTGATATAAATAAAGCGTCTGGATGACATGACGTTATTTGGAGGACAAGAGCGACTCGCTGCTGCTGGAGTTATTGTACAAAGTGACAGATGTGAGGCCCTGTTTTTAGTGAAGCAGCTCTCTAATTTAATAAGAGCAGATGACTTAGTAGCACTTTACGTGCCGCCCCACAAGCACCTCATTGGCTAAATTGTTAAACTTTTTTTAAGAGCTGGAAATGGCCTCGTTTGTGTTTCTATATTTTGAAACGCGTGTGTTCGATTGTTATAGAGCGTGGTTATTCTTAAGAAAAAGTAGTAATGATGAGCAGAGTATTTTCCGGTATGTATACTTCCCCTGCAGGACACTGCTAGGTACTGATCAGTTGCTCAGGTAGTCCAGCGGATGCTTAACTAAACCATACCACGGGTGGGGTTAGAACCCGCGATCAGAGAGTCTCAGAACTACAGATCTTACTGTGGCTAGCTGGCCCAGTGGCTAACGCGACGGTTTGGAGTTTTGAGATTCTGATCGCGGGTTCTAACCCCGCCCGTGGTATGGTTTGTTTGCAATCATGTCATTACGATTTCGTGAGTCATGTTGGATGCTTGACTAGTTACAAGTCATCATCTGATGAAGACCATGACGTCCTGTTTCCTGGCGAATAAACCACCACCAAGATAGTGATCCAAAGAAGAAAGTATTTACCTTTTTTAATTATACAGATTTGTACCTAAATAATAGTTCGGTGGGGGGGGGGAGAGGCAGCATGGCATTTGGAACCTGCTTGACCGAGAGAGAATTAATCTTTGGCTCTACGTTGACTAATTCGGGGACTCACGCCTACTCTTCGGCTAAGTGTGCGTTGACTTTAGCACATTAATTACCGCGGGATATTAAGATGACACGTACCTCTAAATTAGAAGGCTCGCCTTATTGCCGGGTTCGTTTCCCAGCCAAGACCAAACGTATGGGCAAGTTTCCTTACACTAAACCGTAATTAGGTACCTGGGTGCTTAGCCGATTGTTGTGAAATGCATCTTTTGGGCGATGGTAGTATACCTTAGAACTGAAATGTAAAAAAAAAAAAAAAAAGAGGTAGGATAACAGCTCTGAGTGTGTGAAATAGTGGTAGTCAGTAGTGGGTGAAGAACACGGGTGCTTGTTTTCCTCTCAGTGGCGTCGATTATGGAGTAATTGGTTTTGTGGAGTGTGACGAGGCTATTGAGGCTGCCGTGAAGCCATTGCTTTAGTGGCCCACTTCTGATGTGTTTCCTGCACCTGCTGCTTTCTCCGTAGTTAGACGTTTACCATCTTGGTCCAAGGAAATGGAGCTCTTACCCCTCTCATATCAAACCCGATTGCCTCGCAGTCCTCAGGCGCTGTGTAGCCCTTGCGGGTTTACCGTTTCTCCATGATTTAAAATAATATTAATCATCAGTCATAGTTACCGCCGCGACCATCACCTCCCTCTTCACCTCCGCGACCATCATCTCCCTCGTCTTCACCGCCGCCACCTGGCTGGTGATAACAATGTTGTGTACTGGGAGGGTCGGAGCTGGAAGAAGGCAGTTTTCCCTGATCCGCCACACTAGCTACCTAACTTCATATAATGTACTGTATCCCCCTAGATGTGGCTGTGGGGGTCGAGTCTAGGCTCCTCCCTCCTCTCGACTAATTGCGAACGGTTACACACTAATACTGGCTTTATGGATGTTATATCTTTAGTATATTAGTGTACCGCAAGATGCAGTAGCACTACCTAATTTACTAAAGTGTGTTGCAGATAAAGTCCCACCCCCACCAACCCCACACACCACCTACTCCGATACTTGTGCCAGGAAATTGGAAATTTTTAGTATACCCCTAGATTTGTCAAGAGAAGCTAATATTTCCCAGAACACAGTTAAGACTACTCACATCATGGAAGATAGTTACAACACCACTGAGAGGAAATGCGGAATAAACCCAGTGCAAAGAAAGGTTCCTATACACAATTAGAAAGCTCTGCGTCAGTATTAGGGACCCGAAGACTAGTACTTGCTAGCAACAAATACCAGAAATATTTCCAGGCTTTTAAGGGGAATTTGGGCCACTACCTCCTGTGCCTGATTAGTCAAGCCGTGCTGGTTATGTAGGCATGCTACTGAGTGAACATTAAAATAGTATACAATACCGACAGGTTGTTAGGTAAGACACATATGCAAGAGTTAGGTATCTTTATTTCGAAACGTTTCGCCTACACAGTAGGCTTCTTCCCTAGTCAGACTATGGAACAATACTCTTCTCCAGACTGAGGGACTGACCACCTCAAAACTTCAAGGGTGATGGACTGATTACATCGTCTTCAAGTCTCTTCTGCTTCTATCAACTTTTATGTACTCGACTGAAGAAGCCTACTGTGTAGGCGAAACGTTTCGAAATAAAGATACCTAACTGTTACATATGTGTCTTACCTAATAGGCTTGCTACTGGCTAGAAGAAAGAGCCTGGATGACCAGGTAATCAACAGGGAGGAACATCAGGCTCCAGTTTGGTGAGCATATCCGTCATGTTTACTTCACTTAACAGTCAGTGTGGACAGGGCTCGTTGTCGCCTTCAAATTAGAGATAATCATAAGAACATAAGAAAGAAGGAACACTGCAGCAGGCCTGCTGGCCCATGCGAGGCAGGTCCAATTCTCCCACCGGCTAGGTATTTACCTCTATGAATACCAATAAACTCTTAATATTGACAAGACCTTCTACATGATGTTTGGGAACAGCTACATATGTACAACTCAATTCAGTGACAAAAGATTCGGTCATTATAAGACAGGTGAAAATTCTTAGGTCTGTACCTTGCAAGCAATTTAAAATTCAACACTCGCATCCAGCACATAACCCAGAAGGTCTCCATAACAGTAAGCAACCTCTCTAAGATACATTACCATGGACCTCAAGCAGCACTACTTCGTACTAATCTTGACGTTATTAGATGATCTTGAAGGTTTTATGTCGGGCACGCGGGCACACTGTGTGGGTGGGTGGGGGTGTGGGCGTGTTATATTATATATATATATATATATAATATTATATATATATATATTATATAATATATTTTATATATAGGTAGTAGGTTGGTAGACAGCAACCACCCAGGGAGGTACTACCGTCCTGCCAAGTGAGTGTAAAACGAAAGCCTGTAATTGTTTTACATGATGGTAGGATTGCTGGTGTCTTTTGTCTGTCTCATAAATATGCAAGATTACAGGTACGTCTTGCTACTTCTTCTTACAATTAGGTCACACTACACATGTACACGTTTATTTATACACACTCATCTGAGTTTTCTTTGATTTTATCTTAATAGTTCTTGGTCTTATTACTTTTCCTCTTATATCCATGGGGAAGTGGAATAAGAATCTTTCCTCCGTAAGCCATGCGTGTTGTAAAAGTCAACTAAAATGCCGGGAACAATGGGCTAGTAACCCCTTTTCCTGTAAAGATTACTAAAAAGAATAAGAAGAAGAAAATTGTCAAAGTGGGAAGTCTGAATGTGCGTGGATGTTGTGCAAATGATAAGAAAGAGATGATTGTGGATGTTATGAATGAGAAGAAACTGGATGTCCTGGCTTTAAGTGAAACAAAGCTGAAGGGGGTGGGAGAGTTTTCAATGGAGAGGAATAAAGGGATTAGGTCAGGGGTTTCAAATAGAGTTAGAGCTAAAGAAGGAGTAGCAATAATGTTGAAGGATAAGCTATGGCAGGAAAAGAGGGACTACAAATGTATAAATTCAAGGATTATGTGGAGTAAAATAAAGATTGGATGTGAAAAGTGGGTTATAGTAAGCGTGTATGCACCTGGAGAAGAGAGAAGTGTAGAGGAGAGAGAGAGATTCTGGGAAATGTTGAGTGAATGCGTGGGGAGTTTTGAATCAAGTGTGAGAGTAATGGTGGTTGGGGATTTCAATGCTAAAGTGGGTAAAAATGTTATGGAGGGAGTAGTAGGTAATTTTGGGGTGCCAGGGGTAAATGTAAATAGGAGCCTTTAATTGAGCTATGTGTAGAAAGAAATTTGGTAATAAGTAATACATATTTTATGAAAAAGAGGATAATAAATATACAAGGTATGATGTAGCACGTAATGAAAGTAGTTTGTTAGATTATGTATTGGTGGATAAAAGGTTGATGGGTAGGCTCCAGATGTACATGTTTATAGAGGGGCAACTGATATATCGGATCATTATTTAGTTGTAGCTACAGTTAGAGTAAGAGGTAGATGGGAAAAGAGGAAGGTGGCAACAACAGTAAGAGGGAGGTGAAAGTGTATAAACTAAGGGAGGAGGAAGTTCGGGCGAGATATAAGCGACTATTGGCAGAAAGGTGGGCTAGTGCAAAGATGAGTAGTGGGGGGTTGAAGGGGTTGGAATAGTTTTAAAAATGCACTATTAGAATGTGGGGCAGAAGTTTGTGGTTATTAGGAGGGTGGGGGCAGGAGGAAAGAGGAGTGATTGGTGGAATGAAGAAGTAAAGGGTGTGATAAAAGGAAAAAAGGTAGCTTACGAGAGGTTTTTTACAAAGCAGAAGTGTTATAAGAAGAGCAGAGTATATGGAGAGTAAAAGAAAGGTGAAGAGAGTGGTGAGAAAGTGCAAAAGGAAGCAGATGAAAGAGTGGGGGGAGGCACTGTCAAGAAATTTTAATGAAAATAAGAAAAAAATTTGGAGTGAGTTAAACAAGTTAAGAAAGCCTAGGGAAAGTATGGATTTGTCAGTTAAAAACAGAGTAGGGAGTCAGTAGATGGGGAAGGGAGGTATTAGGTAGATGGCGAGAAATATTTTGAGGAACTTTTAAATGTTAAGGAAGAAGGGAGGCGGTA